TAGTATTACTAACTAATACTATTTAATATACAAGATATAATTAAAGTACTATAATATAAATAATTATGAGTAGATTATGTCGAAGTATGTTAAAAGATATTAAAGAATGTTGAAGAACATCAGAGTACGTGAAAGGATGTTAAAAGACATGAAAAGATGTGAGAAGATATTGAAAGACATGGAAAGACATGAAAGAACATGAGAAAATATCAAAGGATGTCAAAGGACATGAAAAGACGTTTGAGATTATCATCCAAATATAACTGTTCCACCAAAATTAAAAATAGTTTTCCATTACACTATTCTACTATGTACATGAATATCATAATATAAAATAATAAAAATGCAGATCTCAAATACTAAATAAAATATAAGGTCAAAAATAGAAACACGATAATAAATATAGTAATAAATGATATAGAAAATAAAGATAATTATAAAATGAATAAAACTATAATAAAATGTAATATTTTATAACTAGGGAAAGATTAAGGAATTAAGGAATTTTATATCACTACAGTAATAATAATTTAGAATTAAATATAATTAAGCTAATATTAAAATAAAATATTAAAAAAATTAAATTTTTTTTATTTATTTATATTTTTAATATTTATATAATAAAATTATAAAAAATAATATATTACAAAAAGTTTTTTAATAAATTTTTTATAATAATTTGCTAAGTTTAGAAAGTTTTGAAATATTAATAAATATTAATTAGTTTTTAATTATAATTATATTTAATTAACTAAATTCTATTTAATAATATAGATATAATTAAAATATTTTATATATTATTAAATTAAATTATATTTCTTCTATTTAGAATATAATTTATACTTGTATAAAATATCAAAAAATTATTTGAAAATATTCAATATATTTTTTCTTTAGCTTATTATATATTATTATAATATAAGCTTTTATTAAAAACATTATTTAGTTAGTTAAATTATATTATAATATTATCAAAATTGATCTTTGAACCAGTTTAAACATATTGTTCAAATATTATATAATTAAATTATTAATAAATTTTTATCCAAACTATCCAAAATTAGTCAAGAGTCAATGCTAAACCTTATTAAATAAATAATTAATTATATCTTATTAAAAGAGAATTTTATTTACAAATGATTTTATTAACATGAAAATTATAATTAAATTATTATATCAAAATTAGTAAAACTATTATAACTATTATAACTAAATTAATAATGCTATTATAATAAAATTAATATTTTGATATTAACTAAATTAATATTTAGAACATAACAAAAAGTAATATAAGTATTATTACTAAAGTATCACTTATAGAATCTTTAAAATATATAAAAGAATTATGTCTTAACTAATAAAAAGATAGTAATTAGTTAGTTAATTAAGTATTAAAAAATATCTCTTGTAGAATAAATCTTGTAAAAGATCTATTATATTTGTCTTATTAATTAATAGTTTATTATATTCTTATTGAAATATACTTTTGAATTGGACTATATTCTAGCTAGTTATATATTAAACACTTCTGTTATCTATCTTTAGATTATCCTCTGATAAACTTAATAGAATATAAGTCATATTCTTGTTAATATAATTTTAAAGACTACCAGTGGGTGAGCATTATACAAGATGCTTTAAGATTCATCCCATTTAGCTTGTATGGATTGCCATAAACTCTAAATCAGTTCATATACATCTGTAAAACTACAAAAATTTTTGAAAGTTAGGAACTGTCTAGATATAAGTTTCAATATAGTAATAATAACGTATTTATAATTGAAAGTCAAGTATTAAGCTGCACTATCACAAGATTACTTATAATTCTAATGGCCTGTTATTATTAAATCACTTTGTAAAAGAAATCTTTTCAGTTGTTAATTTTTCCAACTTTTTCGTTTCCATAGGCTATCTTTAACCAGATCCCGACTGTAATAGTAATAATCTCAGTATGCTGATCAATGCGAAGACATTTACGGGATAATCCTAATTACATGTATTTGTTTTTAAAATTGTTCATTTTTACCGTGTTTGTAAACTTCTAATTTTTGCTTTGAACTATGTAACGATTTCAACACAACTTCACATTCTCCATATCGTTTAAATTCTCATGATCTCCTGTAATTTATAAATTTTTGATATCTTTAATCTCCGCTAGATTATTCATCACTATAAATTCGTTTGCGATATAAAAAATAGTGAACGTGGAATTAATTTTCTTAACACTCGGTACATTTACTACAATATGAGTATTGTGAGCTAATTACAATGATGAGTTTTCGATTCCATCTTTGAGTTCACTTTATAAAATGCGAATTGCTTGAAATGATATGAGATAATCGTTGTCGTAATACATGTACAGTTACGTACTGTATGTGTAGCGGAATGGTGTAGCGCCAGGGCCAAGCATGTAAGGAGTACAATGACCTTCTGGGTAAAAACTAACAAGATACACCATTATGTGAAAATATTTGGCGTATTTTTCTGCCTGAACAAGATGTGGCCTGAAATCAGCGGCTGTTATTGACTTTTAACTCGAGACATTAATATTCTATATAATCATCATTTGCTTTAACAAAAAAATGTGAACGTGTGAAGTATTTCAAAATCAGTTGATAAAGTATGCATGCAGTAATTTCAATTCGAAATTTATTAATAGATAAGTTACATTGTTAGTGTATAATATGATATTAAATTTCAAATGGAAAATCAGCTGGTTTACCATATTTATCGTAATATAAATAACGGATATTATAAATCTTAAAAATATATCCAAGTGCAAGCACTTCATAAGGGGCAAAAAATCTTTCATCAATAGTAACCTCGTCTGTGTTATATCCATGTGCATACTTGGATACTTGATGATATAAAAAAGAAATACACTTTTTCACGTCATCTTCCTTCGTCTTGTTGATATCACAGATATTTTTCAAGTAATATACAAATTCATGATTATTAATCAATTTGGTTAAGTTACTGTCGGGAGTTGCTGAAAATTTTTTAGGTGGTTCAGTTGATTCTTTAGTTGGTGATTCACTCAGTGGCTTAGTTGATGATTTAGTCAGTGGTGATGCAGTTGGAGTCAGAAACAAGAGTTCATAATCTCCAAAATTACCTCTTGATATTTGTTCTCTTATCCATTCTAAAACGCCGCGTATATTGAAATTTCCACGAATTTTCAAATAAAGAATGATATAATCTCGTTTTTCATTTTGCAAGGACTGCAATTTTTCCTTCATTAAGATAATTTCTTGCTTGTGTCGAACTTGAAGTTGATCTTGAACCTTGAGAATCTCTTGTTTGTGTTGATTAAGAATATCAAGAATCTCTTGTTTATGCTCAAAGTTGAGTTGATCTCGAAGTTGACTATGCTCAAAGTTGAATTGATCTCGAAGTTGACTTTGAAGCAATGTAGCTTCTAATACAAATCTTTGACGTGATAAAAAAATAGTACTTGAGATACGTTTTATCATATCATTATAGGGATTATATGAAAATTGTTTAATTGATTGTGAATAATTACGAGAGGGGAAAATTTTAATAGCATGTTGAAGAAAATAATAGCAAATGGAATGATAACGAAGTAAACAAGACATGTTAAACTGTGAGTGAAAAAGTCTGGTGGAATTCAAAGCACAGTTTTATAATTAAATTTTTATATTTAAGAAAGGGGTGGAGTTTATTATAAAATAAAAGTTTGAATTAATGTATCATTGTTTGTCGAAATCCCAAAAAAACACATGTGGTTTATCATTATGTGTCATGTAATAATAATAAAATATAACAATAACGATAATAATTAACATAAAACTAACAATTCAATTAAATTCTCGCATTTAGAATATTTGCCACATTTGGCACATTAGAACAATAATTTTTTCACACCCCTTTTTTGATGTTGCCATACACCTCGTGATTACGTGATAAAGATATAGCACATGACAAGACGTGGAACTGCCTTACACTCGATTCTCACATTGGAGGCAATTAGTGTAAAATCCATGATTCGCTTATCAAACCCTAAGGGATCAAATGGTATGCCTTATATCGATTCTCTTTACTGGATCTTGAGATAATGAGCTCCAAAGAAGTCGTGTATATTTTCTTTCACCAAAATACCATGTAAGGCATCTTGGTGCTCAATATCTCAAGATTTAGTGAAAAGAAATCGAGTGTAAGTCATACTATTCGATTGTTGAATCGAATGGTTAGCTTTTGCAATCGATTTTCATCACTGGGACTCAATATATATGTAGATACTAAAACTAACATGCACGTACATATGATGCGAGAAGGATTAATAATAGGTTTGTTTTGGGCGGTTCCATTGCAGTTAATGGATCTGTCATTAATTATGTTAATGGACAGTATCTAGTTCATTATGAGAATGGAAACATATTGGAAGGTAAGTTTAGTAAGTTATTTATTGTTATTATTTTACGTATAAAATTCAATGCATTAAATTACAGATTCTTGAATCTAATAGAATCGGTATCTCAGCAACAAATATGGTAGTAATATCACCAAATCGAATAGTATTTCTTGATAAAGATAATTCTTTTCTTTATTAAATCATATCATAGATACATAGATATCTCCAAAATTAACTAACTAGCTCAACGCAAAATAAACCAGCCAAATACAATACAGAAGCACGATACCATGATAGCAGAACCCGGATGAATCACAAAATACAATCTAGGCACAAATGAATTCAGGATCTGAACTTGGAAACGAATATTTTTGTTCGGCCGGTGCGTTTTTGATAAATGAAACGCTGGTCGAGACGGCAGTGGCCAGAAAATGCTAAAGCGAAAGATGGGTATTTAAAAAATTTTAAGATTTTTCAGATGATCGAGTTTAAGTTTAGTGAAAATACTAAAGCTGCAACCGCCAAATAAATAATCTTATTTATGCATAGTCGAACAAATATATTTGAAGTTGTTTATGTTTGCCATTGATATTGAATCAATAACAGGTTGCTTGTCATTTTTATTAGTTATTTCTCTGAAAGAATTTTATTTGATATGTGAAAACTTAAAACTATACAAGTATCAGTTAACGGAAGGAACCTAAAATTTCGTAATTCCCGAACATGGAAAATTCTGATTGTATTACGGTTTCTGTAACAATCCACGTGTAATGACTATCGAACATGGTTTCTCCAATTAACACAGAATGAATATCTTCACCTAAATAGTGTTATGTCTTTCTGATCTGTTGGGTTTCAAGTGGAATAGTGCAAGCGTTCTGGAGAGGATTTGACTGAATTTCCTGGAAGTAATCGGTTTCTAAAGGCTTGTGCCAGTAACTACGGTTACTGTTGATGGAAAAGGTCAGTGTGTTTGTATGGTGTGGGGGATTAATTGGAAAGGGGCAAAGGGGTTTATCTGCTAACAAAGGAGAGGTTTATTTATTATTAGTTTGACTGGATCTCTTGGAATCACAGATTTCGACGCTGTACAAAGTCTTTCGACGGCTTGACTATCCTACAAAGTGTAACAACTATAACCAAAGAAAACACAGCTTTCTTCCGGCAAAAGTGACAAAACCCGAGGTGACAAAAGCAAGAGGTAATTATTCTTTAATTACTTTGAACTTTATTTTATTTCACACTTGTCCTCTGATTAAGGCTCAAGGACGGGCCTATTTACATTAATTTTTATGTACATGTTTTGATATATGTTTAAGACAGATGAGCGAAACACTATATTAAAAACTAGACTAATTACTATCCTATTTTGTAGGGTGGCGAAACATTGTATCGAATGGTCAGAACAGTGTACTGATAATGTATATAATGTTCGAAACAATAGGCTTGATGGACAGAATAATGTAATTTTTATTAGAAACATGTATATGTATTTAGTTGATCAGTTGATCAACTTATGTATTTTTACTATTTATTGCCAAAAGAAGGAAACATTGTTTTGTTTGGCGACGTAAAATGTTCTATTTGCTATTATATTTATTATTATATAATTTTTTATGGATTTTTTAATTTTATTAGTTATTTTTGTTCTTTACTAATTTTTTTTTTAGCACAAATACATGTCACATGTAGATCATATGCAAAAGACATATTGGAAAAGGATACGGTTTTCTTAACGTAATTATGGAATTCACAATGTTATTGGTAACAATAGTCATTTGACATCCCGAGAGCGTCTTAACAATCAATAAGTACATGTAACAATAATATTTGTGGGAATTGATAAGTTAACACCGTGTGCTAATGTTCTTGACAATCTCGTGCAAACACGATTACCATAACCACTTTCGTAGCCATCATTATTAGAATAGTTCAATAATTCATTATCACTGCTATTATCATTGAAATTAGATATTCTGTAATAAGATCTTTGAGTTTTACTGTCACTCGCACACTTTATTTGTCTCTATTATCATTGTGACCTTTTATTATCCTTCAGAAACCCAAATTAGAAAATCGGAAAGACCGCTCTAGAAATAGTCTTGTTATTAGATCAAGAACTCAATCACTCAAATAACATAGATAATTGCCATTAAGCAAATTTGATAGAACCCTGACATGTATAAAAAGAACAACTTTTCTTCCACTATTGGTTATGTTAGGCATAAAAGAAATAAAAAGCCACTGTGCACGCAAGATTTTTGAATGAAGATGGATTTGCAAAATATTATCTTTATTTTATTTGTAGTTGTTCCTGCCTTTCTACTCCGAATAAGCCCGACTGTTGTGCCGCTTTGTGCATTATCTGATTTGCTTAGTGCCGTGTGGGATGTGCCTAATTCCTTTCGTTGATTAGACTGTTGGCCGTATCAATAAGTCTAACACATTTTTTTGAATTAATATTGATAGTGAGCCGAAAACTTATTTCTCTTGGAATCTCGTGAATTATTCAACTCTGTTCCAAATATCCCTTTTTAATTCGCCTTTTTCTTAAACCCTTATAATCGATATAATAGTTTTCGTAAAAACTACAGCAGGAGTCCTTTAGAACAAATAGACAACCTCTCTTACTGTAAATCATCAGTCTCAGCCTTCCACCCTTGTATTATAACTTATTTCCCTGAAATCTGTCATCTTTAAGAGACCAATTAACACTATATAATTTATCATATAGCAGATTTTTAATTTTTTTTTATACATTTATCTATCGAATCCTATTAATGATATTAAAATATATATTCCAAAATGTTTCAACTTATTATCAAGGCGTGAAATACCTAGAAATTTTTACCAGTTGTTTATATGTTGAATAGTTTAAATTTCGTTAATTAGGACAAAAATTACCTCAAGTTGAAATTTATTAGAATTTTTGCAAGAAATCAAACATAGTTGAAATAGTTATGACGAACTGATAAAAATCTTAGTCCGTGTTATACCCTCATTGTAACGGGTGCCGTCCAAGTCTCGACGCTCAAAATCCCGATGTTCAAAATACCATTCAACTGCTTTTTTCTCGTCTTTTTCCATGTTGATAACAAACAGCAAGATTAAATTGACCTGAAGTATTTCCACCTATTGCTGATTTCAAGCATCATTCGAATGCTTTTTTTTCGTCTTTTTGTGTTCTGATTCCTTCATTATAACAAACACCAAGATTACATTGGACTAAAGTATCTCCTCCACCTTCTATGTTTTTTTCTCATCTTTTTGCACTCCGATTCCATATTGGTAGAAAAATTCCAATAATGTGAAGTTACTCGTATCTTGAAAGTTGTGAAGAAGAAATTTTTAATTGTTCTTGTGTATACATAATTATTGAGATGCTATTTTATGAGTTTTATCAGAATTGAGCATATTATATAAAATATTAGATAATTCATTACTTATTAATTCTAATGTTTTCCAGTAATCAAAATTTCAGTGTTTAATTGTATCTGTGTTAGCAATATCTTCTATATTTTCATACTCAAACATACGAAAAGTGCTGATTATAATATTATCTGATATAATTCTGATGTATCATCCTCTTTTTTCCACTTGATTTCTTCATGCAGATGGTTTACTCAGGTCGATTCCAACGTTTCTTATAACTCAGCGTATTTGGTAGGCGTCCTTAATATTGTAATTTCTTTTTAATCTGTTGGATCATACAATGCATAACCTGTTTTTTATACGTTGGAATGCGACCGTTAGTTAGAATCCAAAAAAGAATCCCAAGGCTAAAGATATCAGATTTTCATCTCGGCGATAGTCAGGATTTAGTAAAAACGCAGGGTCAACATAATTAATGATTCCATATTCATTTGAAATTTCGAATATCCTAAATCCAAAATTTTTTGATTTTCTCTTGGTGCACCAGTATATTATTATAGTTCTAGTAAGTTACAGGTTACTTTATCTATAAAACAAAAAATTTTTATAGAAGTAGATAATTAATTTATTACCAGATCTCTACGGAATCATGTATAAATTTAATCCTATATTAGTTGCAATGCTAATTTTAATTTTTATCTCCGGTTATTTTTCGTTTTGCTAAGAAAT